CAGTTTCCAAGTGCCCAGCATGACCCATGTAAACAGGCCCACACATGGTACGCTACAGTGAAACCAGACACGATGTCATCAGATGTAGTAGCACACATCTGTAATCCCAGCACTTGGGAGGTAAAGGCAGGAGGACTAGGAATTCAAGATCATCTTTGGCTGTATAACAAGTTCAAGACCAGCCTGGGCTACATGAGATAGTATCGTTAAAAATAATAATAAAATTTAAAAAATATATATACACACACACAATTCTTTTTTTGTAAGAGAAAGAAAAGAGTCCTATGAAACAGGGGGCTGGAGAGCTGGCTCAGCAGCTAAGAGCACTTGCTGCTCTTGCAGAAGACCCGGATTCAGTTCCCAGCATCCACATGGCAGTTCACAACTCCGGTTCCAGGGAATCTAACATCCTCTTCTGAACCTCTTGGAGGCATTGCATGCATGTAGTGCACTTACATACATGCAGGCAAAGGACTCATAGACATAAAATAAAGATAAATAAATTTTTTAATTAAAAAAATGATAAAAAGGGCCGGGCGTGGTGGCGCATGTCTTTAATCCCAGCACTCGGGAGGCAGAGGCAGACAGACCTCTGTGAGTTCAAGGCCAGCCTGGTCTACACGGTGAGTTCCAGGACAGCTGGGGCTACAGGGAGACCCTGTCTCAAAAAGACCAAAAAAAAAAAAAAAAAAATAAAATGGTTTCAGACTTCTCTACCACAATAAAAAAAAAAAAAAGTTAGACAATGAAGTAATGTCTTCAAAAATCTGGGGGGAAAAAAGTTTATTTCCAACCTAGGATTTTATATGCAGCCAAACTGTTAATCAAATATGAAGATAACATTTTCACTCATATGAGGTCTTTTTTAAATGCAATATGTATCAGTAAACTATTGCGATTAATTTCATTTTTTTTCAGTCTTTTTGTGACAGTCTCCCTGTAGCCCCAGCTGGCCTGGAACTTATTATGTAGATCAAGCTGGCCTCCATCTCACAAAGATCTGCCTGCCTCTGCCTCCCAAGTGCTGGGACTAAAGGGGGGTGCCACTACACCTGGCTATAATTAATTTCTTTTGTCAACTTGATTGGATTAAGAAAGGCCTAGTGCCTTGGAGAGGCACACCTTGGGTGTGTTTGTGTGGGTATTTTCAGAGATTAGCTGAAATTTCTGTGAGGCAAGAGCCACTCGAATGTGGACACCAGCATCCCTGCTCCCTGATCTGCCAGTATTGAGCCAGAAGCCTCCCGTCATCAAGCCTTCTCCACTGAGATGAATGTATCTCTCAAACCATGAGTCAAAATAAACCTTTCCTCCTTAGGGTGTGTCTTATCAGGTATTTGGCCACAGTGGTAAGAAAAGTTGCTCACACCACCATTAAGGAAAGCAATCCACCCAAATAAGGTGAGGGATGTGAGAGGAGTGAAGGATAGTGTTAGGTCACCGACCCTCTAGCCACAATCTCTCCCCAGAAAGCCAGGCTCTCCCCCAGCAGCTCTCCCTGGGACAGAGCCCTGCAGTGGCCTTGCACTCTCCCCGCCTCCTGGCAGCTGCAGGCTAAGTTTATGGTCTGGCCAAGTGCCTGTCTTCATACCCTTTGGCAGGTAGGCAAGGTCACATGGTGTAGAACTTGCCCTCCACGGCCCTGAAAACCTGTAAGACAGATAAACTTCCCTTGTTCTCAAGATCTGAAGGGAACTGGGGAATCTAGATGCTTCCATATTCTCCCTTCTAGGCCCCTCATTGCTGTCTATGCCCATGATGTCATAGCTCCTGGTATTCTGGGAACTGAAGGCGTTCTGTCTCCCTTTAAGACCGCTCTGCAATTGGGATCACATGTGGCTCCTCCCACTGCAACAGGGCTAGGCTTCTCTGCCCTTCAGAAGGGGCCCAGACCTTAGCAGACTGCTTGAGAGTGCCTGGATCCGGCCCTGCTTGGTGCTAGAATATGAAGATTCACATTTCAGAGCTGTTTGGGGTTCACGGGCGATGCTGTGGAATACAATACCTCTGAGGTCCTAGGAGAGCCTCAGAGATTAGCTCTGTGACTCGGACTCCTCTGTACCATCTGCACAAACAAGCAATGCCAAGAATCAACTGAGACTCACGCGATGACTGCTCCTCAATGAATGCTTCTCCATCACCTAGTTATTCTCCCAGTGAGAACGGCCCAGCCTGCTTTCAGTCCACCTCTCGTTTAATATTTCCTTCTTCTCTAACTAAACCAAAAGCTTTTGGAGAGCAAGCTCTTTGCGGTACTTATATTAGCAATATTCAAAATGTTTGCCCTGTAATGGTTTCAAAGAAATTTCTATTAAAAACAACAATTTTTTTTTAAAGACCTCACCACACTGTCTACAACACAGAACCTGCTCTCTCCTGATTGCTCTCCCACTTCAAGGTCCAGGCATGGCTGCCCATGGTTGACAGAGGTGCTCTCTCCTAATAAAGCTTTTCTGAAGGGTAATTGCCTATCAGCCTCTTTACAGGAACCTGCCACTACTTTCCTTTTGCGAAAAGATAAACGCATTAATGCAGGAGAGAACCAAAAGGATTCTTTAGCATGCTAGTAAAGGAACTTCAAAAATGACAGCCATCAGGATCAGTATGACTTGGACAACAAATGCTTATCATTTTGTGTTTCTGTGTGTCTATGGTGTACGTCTCTGTGCATCTCTATGTGTGTGTTTGTGTCTGTGTATATGTCTCTGTGTCTCTATGTGTCTGTAAATGTATCTGTGTGTGTGTGTGTGTCTATGTGTGTGTCTCTGTCTCTGTGGTACCTGTGTATGTATCTGTCTGTATATATGTGTGTCTATTTGTGTATGTCTGTCTCTGTGTGTATGTCTGTGTGTTTCTATATGTCTGTGTCTCTGTGGGTATGTCTGTTTGTGTATCTGTGTGTTGCTGGTTATGGAACCCAGGGCTTTGAAGGCAAGGCTCTACACTGAGCCTTTATGCCCAGAAGACAGATGTTCTGAGTGCTGTCATCCCCCAGATCCCATCTTTCATGGTATTGTCTTCTTAACCTGCCATACCCAGGAATGAATGGCATTTCTCTCAGGGTCCTGACTGTTGCCTTCTAAGGAAGGGAGCTGTTAACAACTCTCAGGAAAACTGAAGGTAGACTGTGGCCCAGAGACTTGGGAGTCTTCACCAAACACTGACAAGATTGCCTTTCTCTACCTACTTAGAAACATGCTTGAATTTATATGTTCTATTGTGTTTTGTTTTTTTTTTTAATCTTATGTTTTATGTGTATTCATGTATTGTATTGCCTGAAACTATGTAAGTGTACCCATGGAGGACAAAAGATGGTATCAGATTCCCTTTAGAACAGGAGTTATGGACAGTTGTTAGCTGTCATGTGGGTGCTGGGATTCGAACCCAGGTCTTCTGCAAGAACAACCAATATTCTTAACCACTGAGCCATCTTTCCAGCCCCTTGTTTTGTTTTGTTTTGTTTTTTTGAGATAGGGTCTCCCTGTAGCCCCAGCTGGCCTATAACTCACTATATAGACCAGGCTAGCCTTGATCTTAACAGCTATCCACCTGCCTCTGCCTCCCAAGTGCTGTGATTAAAGGCATGTGCCACCACAACCAACTTTGCTTCTCTATAGTAATCACCCTTACTGGTGATATATTAAGTAGCTAATGAACAATAATCAACTGTTTAAAAGAAAAAAGAAATCAGTGTCTCACTGCGGAGAAGGACCAGTGAGCCCAAAGAGAGGTCAGTGTTGTAAGCATGGTCAACAGTTGTCAACAGCACAAAGGTATGCTGAGACTGATCCCTATAGGTGCTGCTGGCAAATGCCTCCCCATCATGAGGGCCCAGATAGCCCAGAGGACAAAGCTCTGGGTGAACAAAGCAAGAAGAGCAGGTGGGGACTGCATGGCTACCTCTGCTACTGTCATTCATTAGCTCCACTCTCTGAGTCAGCCCTGGGCTAACTCCTATCTAGTTCATATGGGAACCCCAAGATCACGTCTCATTTGTGCTATACCAAGTCAGGGGCTTGACTAGCCAAATCCTCAGAGATCACACAAGCCTTTGGGAATTGCTCGGCTGGAGAGGGCTTGACTACAATGTGAAAGACCCTAGATTCAATCCACAATACTGGGGGGGGCGGGGGAGAGATGAACACAGACATGGGACACAGGGCCTAGATCCAGTCCAGGTCTGTTTGATTCCAGGAGCCACTGCTCTCCATCACTTTAACCAAGGAGAAAGAGACTAAATTTCAAAACATAAGATCGCCTCATCATGAGCCAGGCATTGTGGTGCATGCCTTTAATCCCAGCACTTGGGAGGCAGACGCAGGCAGATCTGAGTTCAAGGCCAGCCTGGTCTGCATAATGAGTTCCAGGCCAGCTGGGTCTACAGGGAAACCCTGTCTCAAATATACTCCCTTCTGAAAAAAAAACTCCATGTAAGAACATTTCCAAAGCTCTCACTAACTAGAAAGAGGGGAAATAGCAGAAATGGAGTAGGGAGAGGCTGGGGATGGGATGGATGGGAAAGGGGGAAAGAGATCCTGAAAAAGAAACCGAGTAAATGGACAAAACTGTGCCCCTGGTCTTAGGGACCACCTCTGGTCTGAGGACAGTGTGCTCCACAGCCGGGGCGGGCCAAACAGACCTGGGCACCCAATCCTCCCTCTGCCTCTCATCAGCGCAGCTACATCCGACTGCCAGGTCTGAAGACTCAGAAAGAGTTTGTTGGATGAAATGAATAGCTGTAGCCAAATGAAGATTCTGTTTCCCTATAAAGCACGAATAACAATGCCTGCCTCCAGGCTCTAAGAGGGTCATCACGGGGGTAAGCTGGCCACCACCACCCTCCCTGCCACATCGCCAGCCTATCTCCCCACCCTGACCATGACATGCACAGGGACAGGAAGCATCCCTCTGCTATTTGGTCTGTCTGTGCCTCTCTCTCCACCCATACTCATGCCCAGCTACTGTGGGCTGGGAGAATGGTCTGGCTCCTGAGGACACACCTGGTCACTGCGGGAGACCCCGTAGCGCAGTTCGTTCACAAAGTGCTCGCAGTTCTCACTGGTCAGCTTGTAGAGAACTTCCTGCCCCAGCAACTCTTCTGCTCGTTGGATGATTTTACTGGGAGGCAGTGGGCTGTACTTGTTATCATGTTTGTTATTGACCTGGTACTTGTCGCTCCCGGCCACATCGTACAGCAGTTCTTTCTTCACTATGGCCTTGTCAGTCAAAGCGGACATGATGCTGGCCACCCCAGCTCCCGCAATTTCACCTATGAATCCAGAGAGAACAGAGGCATTGGTCCTGGGCAGGGCCACAGAGACTCAGGGCTGGGCAACCACCCTTAGCAGCATCCACAGAGGATGAGCAAGATGAGACTGGGTCAGAGACATGCTGTGCAGCTTTAGAGAAGGCACTTGTGGCCTCTGGGCCCTGGTTTCCTTATCTAAACAGCTAATAAAGTTCCATGATTTACTATCATATGTGGTTGTTGAGGTTCAGATGGGAAAGTGAGATAGGGTCTCAGTTTGTAATCCACATTGGTCTGACCTGGAACTCACTATGTAGCTTAGGCTGACCTCGAACATTAAATAGTCCTCCTGTCTCAGCTTTCTGAGTGCTGGGATGACAGCCATGCACCACCACACCCAGCTACTGGAAGGTTTAGCCCAGAATGCAAATCTTCTGTGCTGCAGCTGCTTGATTGCACCATGAGCCATGAGCACCTCCTCTTTCTGGGGAATAGCGTGTAACCTTTTGATTCCAACTGCGTTGTAGCACTTGGCCTCACAAAGATGATGACTACAGAAGTGGCCGCTCTTCCAGAGTCCCCACCCTTCCAGGATAAAAGAGACCAAAATGCTTCAGCTGCTCCACTACGACTGAGACCCAGGGGATACAGTGGCAGTCCTGGCCAAGGTCCAGGGGTGAGAAGGGGCACAAAGTTCCAAAAATGAAGTGACCTGAAAGAGGAGGCACCTGGGTTCTGCAGGGCCAGTAATGAGGCGGTGAGGGTCATCTAATACAGCACAGAACCTGGGCCTCCCAACCCATGGGGGACGGGCATGCTCTGGGTGTAATGGCTGGAAAGGGGTGTGCACCCAAGAGGTGAACCCGGAAGCCCACAATGCATCACACAAAGAGGCTCCCTGCCAGGAGCAGGGCCCCCTAGGTGCAGCAACAGCACCCCAATAAACTGTACAGGATCAGCCTTCAGCTGTGACCCCTATAGGACATCAGCAAGGAAGGCTGATCGGGTTCCAGATCCTGCTTCACTTGGCTTTCCAGAGAAGCCTGGCGAATTCTGAGTGACTAAGAATAGGGTGGCACCTAAGTAAACAGGCATTATCTAAGCACTCAGGAGGCTAAAGCAGGAGGATCACATGTTCACAGCTAGTCTGGGCTATACAGTGAGTTCCAGGCCAGCCTGGGCTACATAGCAAGCTCCTGTTTCAAAATGGAAAAAATAAAATGACAGATACCCAAGTGGAGATGCCCAGTAGTCAAGAACTGATACAAATCAGGAGCTGAGTAGAGTCTAAGTTAAAGATACAAACCTAGGAGACATTGACAAACAGAAGGTACTAGAAGCCACAGGGTCCAGTGAGAAAACAGAGCTCCAGTTAGGGTTGTGAGAGGGAAAAAGAGAAAGGGAACACAAGGAGACCAAGAAACACCCAGTGGCAAAAGAAGGAAGATGGGTGCCACCTGAAGAGTAGAAAATGGCCATGCTTGTCAGCAGCTGCAGAGAGCGACACAGTCCACCACCAGAATGGCTTCATTGAGATACGAAAGTCTCTTGTCAGCAGTGGGAAAAGCTTCAGCAAACAAGAAAAGAGCCTGGGTGGACAAAAAGGGAGAGGGTGACAGAGAGAGATAGGGAGTAGGGACCTGAGCTAGCTGGGGAGACAGCACTTTGAGGAGGTCTGCTCTCTGGGCAATAGGAGAGAGACAGACAGAGACAGAGACAGACAGGGACTGATCAGGAGAAACCAGTTGTTTCTGTGTTGACAGGAGAAGAGTTCAGAATGAGGAAGGGTATTTGAGAAGCAAAGTGTTTTTGAAGGGTAAAGGAGAGTCCTGGGCCCACAGTAAGGAGATAGTGTTCAAAGTAAGGGCATGGCTGGGGTTTTTTTGTTGTTGTTTTTTTTTTTTTTTCATTTTAATAGAAGGCAGATTATGTAGACACAAAACAGGTGGTTGGTTTAATTAGGGGTGGGATGGGAAGAGGACATCTGCTCTGGTTAGTTTGCTTTCTCTATAATACAGGGTAAAGGCCACTGTTAAGGCCACTGCTTAAAAGCAAAGGGGTGCCAGGCACAGTGGCACACACCTTTAATCCCAATACATTGGGAGGCAGAGGCAGAGGCAGGTGGATCTCTGTGATTTTGAAGCCACCGTGGTCTACATAATGAGCTCCAGGCCAGAGTGTCACAGTGAGACACCGTGTTAAAAAAACAAAATCAGGGACTAGAGCAGTGACTGCTCTTGCTGAGGACCCCGGGTTGACTCCCACTACCCACATGGCAGCTAACAACCCATCCATGACTCCAATTCTAGAAGATCCCATGCCCTCTTCTGACCTCCATGGGCATTGCATGACACAAGTACATTTACATACATGTAGGCAATACACTCATTCACATAAAATAAAAATAGTTTTTAAAAATCAACCTTTAATTCCAGCACTCGGGAGGCAGAGGCAGGCAGATCTCTGTGGGATCAAGGCCACAGAGATAATACACAATGAGTTCTAGGCCAGAGTTATATAGTGAGACCCTGACTTAAAAAAACAAAAGCAAAAGCAAAGGGATAAGCAAAAAGCACATTCAAAATGTCCACAGAACAGAGGGAGTGGCTCAGGTGGTAGAGTGTTCACCTAACATGAACAGAGTCCTGGGTTCAACCTCCAGCAACCACATAAACTGGTCACGGTGGCACATGCGTATACCCAGCACACAGGAGGTAAACACAAGAGAATAAAAAAATTCAAGGTTGGGGCTGGAGAGATGGCTCAGCGGTTAAGAACACTGGTTGTTCTTGCAGAAGACCCAGGTTCAAATCCCAGCACCCACATGGCAGCTAACAACCGTCCGTAACTCCAGTTCTAAGGGATCCAACAGCCTCGTCTGTCCTCTATAGGCATTGCACGACACAAGTACACTTACCTACACGCAGGCAATACATACATACACATAAAATAAAAATAATAAATAAAATATTTTTTTTTAATTTCAAGGTTACATAGAAAGGCTACATAGAAAGTTGGAGGCCAGCCTGAACTACATTGACACCCTGTCCCCAACACACCACACACCCTAAAACAATGTCTATAACAGCTCTGTTCATAGCAGCCCAAAACTGGAACCACCTGATATCAGAAGAATAAACAACAAATTGTGTTCCAGTCAGTCACATAGTGATTGAATGAGACCACAAGAAGACTACACACAACAGCAACCACACTCTTGGGAACAGAAAGTGAAAGGAGCCAGGCAGCCAGGCCTGGTAGCACAGGCCTATAATCCCAGATATTTAAGGGATGGTGGAGAGTTCAAGGCCTGCCTAGCCTACAGAGTAAGTTTAAGGGCAGCCTGTGTAATAAGTTACACTAAGGTGAAACCCTGTCTCAAAATGAAAAAAGGGGCTGGTGGTTAAGAGCACTGGCTGCTCTTGCAGAAGACCCAGGTTCAATTCTCAGTACCCACTTGGCAGCTAACAACCATCTGTGACTCCAGTTCCAAGGGATCTGACACCTTCTGAGCTCCACAGGCATTGTGTGACATGGGTGCACTTACATACATGTAGGCAATACACTCATAGGCACATGAAATAAAAATAAAAAATATTTTTAATGACATTAAAAAGAGGGATAAAGGGCTGGAGCGATTACTCAGTGGTTAAGATCACTGACTGCTCTTGTGGAAGACCCGGGTTCAATTCCCAGCAACCACATGGCGGCTACGAACCATCCTTAACTCCAGTTCCAGGGGAATTCAAAGCCCTTTTCTGACCTCCACAGCATTGCACAAAATGGGTACACTCACATACATGCAGGCAATACACTTGTAAACATAAAAATAGTAAATAAAATATTTTAAAATAAATAAATAAAAAGAGGATATAGCTTGGGGTAGAGGGCTTGTTTAGCATTGTGAAGCCCTGGGTTGGAGGGAGGGAGGGAGGGAGGAAAAAAGAGCACAGACCAAGTGATTCCTCTCCCACAAAGTTCTAGAACAGGCAGAACTCTTCCATAGTTAGAGAAACTGGAACAGGAGTTGTTGGGACAGGGGAGGCAAGAGGGACCCTTCCAGGGCAATGTGACTCTCTGAATCATGGTCTGAGTCATTGTCACCTGAGCAGGTTTTTTTAACTAGGGAGGGAGGGAGGAAAAAAGAGCACAGACCAAGTGATTCCTCTCCCACAAAGTTCTAGAACAGGCAGAACTCTTCCATAGTTAGAGAAACTGGAACAGGAGTTGTTGGGACAGGGGAGGCAAGAGGGACCCTTCCAGGGCAATGTGACTCTCTGAATCATGGTCTGAGTCATTGTCACCTGAGCAGGTTTTTTTAACTCACTGACTCACGCTGAGTGTGGTGGTGCAGAAGCAGGAGAATCACTGTAAGTTCGAGGCCAGTCTGCGCTACATGGAGAGTTCCAGGCTGGCCACAACTACATAGCAAGACTGTCTCACAAAAAGAAAAAGTCACTTAGTTTTTGTTGCACTGTGATATATTTAGGTTACACTCCAGTTCAGTAAATGGTTTAAATAAAGATGCGGAGAAGTCACCTAGCAGTCCTTCCGAGTACTTGTGCATGCGTGTGTGTGTGTATGTGTGTGTATTACCACAGGACTCATGTGCAGGTCAGAGGACAGCCTTGGGTGTCAGCCCTCACTTTCCACCTTGTTTGAGGCAGGGTCACTTGGTCATTTTTTCCACTGTGTATGCTAGACCAGCTTGCTACAAGAATCCAGGGATTCTCCTGCCTGCCTCCCATCTCACTGAAGGAGCGTTGGGATTACAGGCACATGTTACCACACCTGGTTTTACTTTGGTTCTAAGGATTTGAAACTTCGGTCCTGGGGCTATAGAAATGGTTCAATGGTTAAGAGCATATGGTGCTCTTGAGGAAGACCCAAGTTCAGTCCCTAGCACGTAGTTCAGGATGTTCACAACTGCCTATAACTCCAGTTCCAGGGGATCCTATGCCTCTGGCCTCCCCTGGGACCTGCACTCACATGCACATACCTACACACAGATACACACACACACACACACACACACACAATTTAAAATAAATCTCTAGCCAGGCATGGTGGTGCATATCTTTAATCCAAGAACTCAGGAGGTAGAAGCAGGCGGATCTCTGTGAGATGGGGGCCAGCCTGGTCTACATAGTGAGTTCCAGGAGAGTTGGGACTACAGGGAGACCATGTCTCAAAAAAACCACCAAAATATTTAATAATAATAATAATAAATATGAAACTTAGGTCCTCAAGTTTACACAGCAAGTGCTTTACCCACTAAGCCACCTCTCCAGCCCATTAAGTATTCTTAGTGTTAGTTTAGAAATAAGTCAAGGCTGGAGAGGAGAACCCGGATTCATAACCAAGTCTGTCCAAACACTGTGCTCCTCTTTCAGGAGTCTCAAGCTTGAGAGTTGAGTGAGTTGTACACAAAACACTTAGAAGCAGAGCTGTGCGTGGCTACCTGCAACAGGCCTACACAAGACTAAGCCTGTCAACAATCAGTCATGAATCTGGGGGGGGGTGCTGACAGGGCCCTGCCCTTCTCTGATGAACTACTGCCTACCGATGGATTCCAGCGGCAGGGCAGTCAATCCTGGGTACCCACTCAGAGAGTAACAATCCCATGGTCACACCGATAACCCTCGTTAAACTCAGTACATCTCAAAAAAAAAAAAAAAAAAGAAGAGAAAAACACAAATGTGGGAAAGGGACTTATAGTGAGGGCAGCGGTGGGTAATCGATGCCAAGGGGCTAGAGAAGGTGGGGGTTATGGTAAGCAGAATGCTTTAAAAAAAAATACACAGAGCCAGGCCTGATGTTCACCTCAGCCTCTCCACAAGAAACCACACACACACACCCAATTTTAAGTAAGAGAGCTCAGAAACCTGCCACACATCAAACTTCCTTCCTGTAAAACTTATAAACAAATTGCTAACCAAGGAGCTGCCTGTTTATTACCCACAGCTCCCCCACACCTGTCTTCAAAGCCCTTGGGCCCAGCACAGTGGAGGCCCTGGTGCGCTTACTTGGGGGAGCCAGGTGGATCACATATCCATCACCAACGTAGATAGCCCAGTGGCTGTACAAAGGGCGGAAAATCTCAATCAGGTCTCCAGGCTTAGGTTCTGGCTGCAAAACCAAGAATAGTACTGTTAGGGATGACACCAGAATGGGACAGAGCTGGGTTAGGAAGGCACATACCAGCAGTCCCCAGCAATCAGTTCAGCAGGCAGGACCCATGTGGACACAGGCCCTGCCAGTCTGATGTTGGCCCACCTCACAAGCCCGTGATCCAGGCTTGTAGGGATCGTGGGCCTGGCCCCCACCGTTAAAAACTGCTAAATGCATAATACTGTAAACCTGGTCAGAAGCCCATGGCTGGGAAGGTTATAGGCCCTCACCCCCTTACCACCCCTACAGAAAAACTGCTACAGTGACAAAATTTTTTTTTTTCTTTCGTCTTTTTGAGACAGGGTCTCCCTGTAGCTTGAGCTGTCCTGTAACTCACTATGTAGACCAGGCTGGCCTTGAACTCACAGAGATCCACCTGCCTCTGCTCCCAAGGGCTGGAACTACAGGCATGCACCACCACGCCCGGCTGACAAAAATATTTTAATGCAATGGTCCAGCCTGGAAAATATTTCATTATCTATAAAGGAACAACAGTGAAAGAGTTATACCCCAAAGCCATATAATGTATAATTCCATTTATACACCACTCCAAAATAGGTTTAAATATATGACAGAAAACTGATTGGCAACCCCCAGGGGGTGCAGGGAAGAGAGGGACTAAAGAGAAAGGAAAGGAGGGAACCAGGGTAATTGAACCTGCTATACTGTTCTGATTCTCTCTTTTTTTTTTTTTTTCTGTTTCTTTCTTGTATACAATGTATCAGGATCATATCCCCCACCATCATCTCCTCTTTTCTCTTCCCACTCCTGTTGACCCCCCCTCCTCCTCCTCCTCCTCCTCCTCCTCTTTTCATATCTTTATTTGTGCAGGAGGTCACAGCTGCTGTGTGTTCATGAGTACAAATATTGTGCCGTATCCAAAAGACAGTGTTTCACAGCACTTCTCCCCATCCTTCTGGCTCTTACAGTCTTTCCATCCCATCTTCCTCAGTGTTCCCTGTGCTCAACTCTACGTATTCATTTTGGAATCAAGGAGAAAAAACTTTAAGACAACAAAAATCAGGCCAGTGAGCTGGCTCAGCAGATAAAAGCACTTGTCCTGCAAATGTGTAGACCTGAGTTCAATCCCCAGACTCCACTGTGGAAGGAGAGAACGGACTCCAGAAAGTCGCCTCCTCCCAAGCAGTGAGGTCAGAGGCTGCCAAACCTGGCCACCTGAGATGGATCACATGGAAAAAGGAGAGAACTGGCTGCATAAAGTGTTCTTCTGATCCACACACGAGTCCAGCAAGCAGGCACAAAGACACACACACACACACACACACACACACTCACACACTCATGCACACACACTAAATATAATTCTGTTTGTTTATTTTGTTGAGAAAGAGCAGGAGGGACGCTGGGGCTCAGACAGGCTGGGACAGAGGGCAAGAACTACAGGCTGAATCTACTTTGCAGGTTCAGCCAATGGGCTTTGCAAAAGGAATGAGAAGTCAGATGATCCCGAGGCTTCTCGCCAGGGCAACCGGGAGGCTGGGACAAGGCTGGCAGCAGATGACCAGAGGCACAGGCCTGTGGGTGGGCTGGACTGAAAGGTTTGTTAGGCAGAAAGACAGGCAGCTGCATACCCGAGTCTGGAACTCAGGAGAGTAGTCTGGATCACAGGTCATTCATGACTTTGTAGGGGTGGGGTCGGGGAGGGGTGTTGCTAAGGATAGACCCTTGGGCATACTAGACAAACACCCTACCACATACATGCCTCTATGAGTACAGGTCCTACTAGAAATTGGAGGCAAACGCCTGGCTAAAATGGTCTTAACAGAGAATCGGAGGAGGAACTGAAGCCCATGTAGAAGACGTAATGACTGATATTTTGTCAATCTTGAAGGATGAGGGGAACATAACGTGATAAGACAGAATTCGAACTCGGACCTAAAAACACCCAAATCCCACTCTGCACTGCAATAAGAGGTGGTGGTGGTAAGGACATAGCCTGTAAGGAATGTGTACAGACCGGCACACAGACTGGCAGGCAGGAGAAAGGGCCCTCAGGATCAAAGCCCGGGGTGGGCAGGACTCTCAGGTACGTGAACAGAGTAAGATCTCCAGAGAGCAGCCCAGGCCTGTGTGTGTCTAAGTTGAGCCCCACAGGACAGGGGGTATCTGAAGGGGAAAGAAGGCCTCTCTAGGGCTGGTCCTGGTAGCACACACTTTTAATTCCAGCACTCAGGAGGCAGAGGCAGGTGGATCTCTGTGAGTTCAAGACCAGACTGGTCTACATAGTGAGTTCCAGGCCAGCTGGGGCTATAGGGAGACCCTTTCTCAAAAAAAGAAAAGCAGTCTGAAAAGTGGGGCAGAGATGAGCCAGCATACCTCACCTTGAAGGGAGGGAAGCCGAGGCCAGGGGAGCAGAGGTTTCCTGTCCAGAGTCAGACTGAGAACAGGGAAGCCACCCACAGCCAGTTCTCCAGTCCAGTAAGGAGGGAGAAGCCAGCCCACCCTGAGGCCGACGCCACCCCTGCCAGACAGTCCCTGAAGAGTGAGCCGCACTGATTGCTGTGATTCCACCCCTAGCCCACCCCAAGCCTGCTGCAGGCCCTGTCCAGGACCAGGGTGAAAGTGAGAAGCTTTCAGAAGGGTTTGCAACTCAGAGGCTGAAGGGAAACAAAAGATGTTTTCTTTTCGCTCAAAGCCACTTGAAACATTCTGATTGGCTCACTCCACAGCTGACTCACTGGGTTTTGGAATTTTGTTTCTTATGAAAATGAAGGAAGTGGAAAGTGAGCATAGCTGTTCTGTTTTTTATTATTCTTTTCAGGGCAAATGCCTAGCTATGCATCCCAGGCTGGCTAGAGCGCTCGGTAATGTGCACGCGCGCGCGCGCGCACACACACACACACACACACACACATATTTATTTTAAAAACTAGGTTTGGTGACATGCACTTGCAGTCTCAGCACTGGAGAAGCAGAGACAACCAAATCCCTGGGGCTCACTGGCCAGCCAGTAAAGCGTCATTGGGGGTGTTCCAGGCCAGCAAGAAACTCTGTCTAGAAAAAAGAAAGCTGGAGAGCCTGGAGAAATGCCTCAGTAGTTAAGAGCACTGGCTGCTCTTGCAGAGGGCCTGGGTTCACTTCCCAGCACACACATAGCAGCTAACATCCATCTGTAACTCCAGTTCCAGAGGGTTAAACACCCTCTTCTGACCCCTGATGGCAACAGGCACACATACATGCAGGCAAGAGTTCATACACATAAAATAAAAACAAAGAAATCTTTTTCAAAAGGATGGACAGCACCTGAGAAACAACACCCATGATTGTCCTCTGCCCTACACACACACACACACACACACACACACACACACACACAGGTGCACATATGCACACAAAAAGCACTTGGCACATAGGAAATGTTCAGTAAGTGGCAGTTTCTGCTGTCACCATGGCTGGGTATGCTGTCAGTCTATTTTTATCCAGAACCAGCTGGAGACACTGTGGAGCTTGCGAAGCCCAGACTGGGACTGTTCTTCCTGTTTCCCTAAACCAAATGCTCCAGTGAATATGGAAATCCCTGACCATGTCTTTCACTTTCCATACTGAGAGAAAGGTCTGGAGTAATGAAGTCTGGGCATTGTCAGGAAGGAACTTTCCATCAGAGGGAGTTAGGAGTTTCCAGACCAAGGCTTTAAAAAAGAAGAAATTGGGGGCTGGAGAAATGGCTCAGCAGTTAAGAAAAATTCGACCCGGGTTTGAATTCCAGCCACCTCATGGCAGCTAACAACTGTCTGTAACTCCAGTTCCAGGGGATCCAATGGCCTCTTCTGTCCTCTGCAGGCAATGTACAACACGAGTACACTTACCGACATGCAGGCAATATACGCATACACATAAAATAAAAATAATAAATAGAAAAATAAAAATAATAAAATAATTAAAAAGAAGAAATCTAGGCCAGGTGTGGTGGCGCACGCCTTTAATCCCAGCATTTGGGAGGCAGAGGCAGGCTGATCTTTGTGAGTTTGAGGCCATCCTGGTCTATATAGTGAGTTCCAGGACAGCTGGGGCTATAGGGAGACGCTGTCTCAAAAAGAAGAGGGAAGAGGAGGAGGAGGCGGGGGGGAAGGAGTGGGGAGGAGGAGGAAAAAAAAATCTGTGAGGAGTCAGATGCGAACTTGAGGCTGGATCCCAGAAGCAGGGCACCTTGGGAGCCCTGCAACCTTCAAGAATCAACCTCTGCGAGCTTTCTTGTGAATCAGGGCTGTGGATCCCTATCCAGCAGGGTTTATATAAGAAATAACTGAAAAAAATGGGTCACCACTATAAAACTACTTCAGCCTACAAGGAGGTTGATCGAGAGCCCGTGCTGCAGACTAGGTGGGTACAGGAGGGGTGGGTACAGCATATAGAAGAGCTTAACAGCCCTGACTTCCCAGCCTCAGGCCCAGAGGAAAAATGGAAAAATCTGGCCTGACACATTACCCTTCCCTTACATCCAATCCCATGCCCAGGCCTCCTAGTTAGACAGAGAGGGAGAGTGGCAGTTCCAGCAGGCACAAGGCCCAGCCTCAGCAGCCCAAAGGTCTCAGACATCTTAGGAAAGAAGCAAAACTTGCCTGCCCTCCCAGGCTCACCAGCACTAGACCCCAGGCCTGTTCTCCAAGGTAAACCGGTCGCCCCCCTCATGCATTCAGAACTGTCCCCCACGTAACACCTACCACCAAGCACTGCCGAGGCTTTCACAGGCCACCTGCAATCCTTACTACAGCTTCATCTTATACAGAAAACTGAGCTCAGAGGTAGGAACGAACTTACCCAAGGTCGTCGAGCTCCCCTAGAAGCCATAGCAGCCAGCGTTCCACCACAGACAGACCTGCCTGGATCGGAACAGCTAATGATACAATGGGCAGAGGGACGTGGGGTGCACAAAGTCAAATGCAGAGGTGCGCAGGAAAATCTGTCCTTTTTCACATTAAGAGCCGGTTTCAGTTTTCCTCTTGGTCTTTGCTTCCAAGAAACTGATCAAAGTTCAGTGATACAGTAGGTGGAGGAGGAGGAAAAAGACTTCAGGCCCACCCATTCTAGCAAGCTGAGATTCTGGAGAGATCTGAACTCTCCATGCCATAACAGCCTCCTCCCTCATGCCCTACAGCTCAGTTCCCCTTTGCCAAAAGTCTGCTCTTTTCTGTTTTGGTTTTGGGTTTGAGTTGGTTTCTTTTTGTTGTTCCCTTTTGTTGTTGTTTTATTGGTGGTGGTGATGATGGGTTTGTTTATGTATTTTTGAGCAGAGAGGAGGTCCTTTCTATGTAGCCCAGGCTACCCATCAACTCTTTACACTCCTGCATCAGCCTTCTCAGTGGTGGCATCACGAGGTGTGTATCACCATGCCCACCTCCACAGCTCTGTTGATGGGATGACTAATTGTCCTGGCTGAGCCAGGGGAAGATGTGACCAGTTTCCATGTCCACTCACTCTGACAACCAGACTGGCCCAGCATGCTGAAAGCCCAAGACTGGATCCACTCCACCAGCATCCAACCTGGCATTTAGAGCATTCTCAGTAGAGGTTTATGGCCTGAGAGGGATTGGGGGAGGGGCACTGCCTGCCTCTCCAGCCCCTCTCAGTTTCAGGAGGGAGTATGTAGCCCTGCAGGACTAGAAGCCCCAACTGTGCTTCGGAAGGGTCCTCTTTTCTCTCGCCTTCCTTTGTGCCCTAACTTGCTGCTCAGAGATCGTCCATATGTCAAGCTTGGATCAGAAAGCAGTCAGTTGAGGGACTATGCACTTGAGAACTGGAAAGGCCTAGCAGTTTTTCACAACACAGAACTTAGGTTTTAGCTTTAGTTTGTGTTTGACTTGCAGCCAGCACCTGCTCAACCACATTCAAGATTCAGCAGTACGGTGGGTAGAAGAGGAATGCAAAGGCTTTAGGCTCACTCATTCTAGAAAGTTTAGACCAAGGAGAGATCTGAGCTGAACTTTCCACACCATGATGGCCTTCTCCCTCAAGCCCTGCCGCAGGGCCAGCTGTTCAGGCCTCCAGCTGCAGTCCAGCTTGTTCAGTTTTGGGTTGGGCTTTTGTTTTGTTTTGTTTTGTTTTATGATCTACAGCCCAGGCTAGCCTCCAACTCTGCAAGTTCCTGCATCAGCCTCCCCAGGGGTGGGGTTACAGGTGTGTGGCACTATGCCCACCTCCCCAGGGGTGGGGTTACAGGTGTGTGGCACTATGCCCACCTCCCCAGGGGTGGGGTTACAGGTGTGTGGCACTATGCCCACCTCCCCAGGGGTGGGATTACAGGTGTGTGCCTCTATGCCCACCTCCCCAGCTCTGTTGACAGGATGACTGTAATTGTTGGGCTGAGACCAAGGGAAACGGTGAGTTTTCTCCTTGCCAGTTCTGACAGGAGAGAAGAGGTGTTAACAGTGAGATTTAATGATACACGTGAGCCTCCAATTGGTGCATATTTCTTTTTTTAATTATAGGGACCAGTGAGATGGCTTAGTGGGTAAAGGAACTTGCCACCAAGCCTAAACCCTGGAAACCACATGGTTGAAGAAAAGAGCCAATTCCCAAAAGTTGTCCTCTGACCTCCATATGCAAGCCCCAGCATGTGCACACACACACCCTACACACACACACACACACACACACACACACACAAATAAATGAATAAGTGGGTTTTTTTAATTGTCTATTTCAGAGTCCTACAGGCTCTTGGAACCTTGCTCTTATGAACCTACAGCAATCATGTCAGCATGCACAAGAACCATGTGGTCTCAAGCAGACAAAAACCCAGCACAGGACTATGGGAATGGGCAGCAGGCCCCAATCTTACTTGAAGAATTTTTGGCACTCGATTACTGCTGGGTGAGGAAAAACTGATCTTCTTAAAGAAAGGGACTCTAGATAGGCTGACTAGACCTCAGTGGATGAACTTGCACTGAGGGATGTCTAGGGATATTGACTTAACATGATAGGCCTTAACACAAATGACAGAATGAGCTGGCCTTGGTGGCACATGCCTTTAATCCCAGCACTTAGGAGGCAGAGGCAGGCAGATCTCTAAGTAGAGCAACCTGGTCTACATAGTGAGTTCATGGCCAATGGGGCTAGAAGAGGGAGACCCTGTCTCCAAAAGACCAAAAATGAATAAATAAATACATACATGGTTACACAGCCAAAACACACAGACCCAATGCACTTGTCTGTTTCAACAGTCAGTTTCTAATGATTCAGGAGGGTTCAAGCATTACACAGTTTAGGCTGCCAACTTCTGTGTTCTTATATCTCCCTGGATTTAAACAGAAAATAAAACAGTCTGGTCTCCAAGTACCAGAAACTAGAAGTACAACCAGGAACTAGACATTCTTTAGTGTTTTGAGCACATTCTAAGGTGTTTTTTTTTTACATTTTATTATTTTTATTTTATGTGTATGAGTATAATGCTTGCATGTAGGTAGGTGCACCGTGTCAAGCAGTGCCTGTGATGGTCAGAAGAGGGCATCAGAACCCCTGGAACTGGAGTTACAGACAGTTGTTAGATGCCATGTGGGTGCTGGGAACTAACCCCAGTCCTCTGCAAGAGTAGTCAGTGCTCTTAACCACTGAGCCAGCTCTCTAGCCCATTTCCTAAGTTTTCAGTGATAAAATTTTCACTCAGAAACAGAGTAAATTTGAACTTGATCAATCCCACAACAGTTGCTCAACCGGAACATAATCCCAAGGAGGCTAACCTCAAAAATTTAACAGTTTGATCCAGGCTCAAGTTACGATGAAGAAAACTTTTGCCCAGCCCAGTCACAAGCTCTGAACATCACAGGTTAGAAAGAGGAAATGTCAGGGGTTAGGATGTGGCTCAGTTGATCAAGAGCTTGCCTAGCATGCACAAGGCCCTCACAAAACTGGGTATGATGGCCTTCAAGCCCAGCACTCGGGAGGCAGAGGCAGGAGGATCAGACATATAAGACTATCCTCACTACATAGCTAGTTTGAGGCCAGCCTGGGCTACCTGAGTCTCTGTCTCAAAAAAAATACAGAAGGGGATGGGAGGTGAAGAGGAAGGGAAAGAAAAAACAAGCAGGCAGAGCTGGGAATTTGCTGGCCACAGGGTTGGTCATGAGGCAAGTCAGCTGACACCAGAAAAGCCCACTACCCAGCCGATCCGGCTTCAGACGTTTGCTCCCTCTAACCTGTCCAGTATCCTCGTTTGATGGAAAGCCCTGGCCCTTTACTTGCCCCCTCCTTCCTACACTGTACTGGGCCTGTGTGAGAGACTGCCGCCTCGAAGCCTGTCCAGGAGGTAAGGCAAAGTGCTAACACCATTCCAACAAGTGGCAGCTGACCCATGGCTGACATCGGATGCCTGGCAGTAGATGGAGGTGTGGCTGCCTCACCCTCAAGTATTCGCTCTAAAGCATAAGTCAGACCCGAAGAGGACAAGTCACTATCAAAACAGGACTCCCACCCCAGGCCTGCCTTCCCCCGACATCTGTCCCCTCAACGCCACCAGCACTTACAATAGGAGCTCGCATCTTCTTTCTCGCGATGTGGACCAACTAGGGCTCAGCTTTAGTTTATCAACTGCGTGGATGCCTGAGGCAGAGAGGGAGCAGCAGAAACTCATTTTCTCTAGCAGGAAGCATCGTCCCCAAGTCTCCAGGAGCCGGTGGCTTCTGGCGCTGTCCTTGCGGTTAGTCTCTGCGCCCTCCAGGAACAACCCATCCCCAGCTCCCACCAACTTTCTCGCAGCCTCCTCCCTGCCCTGCGTTTGCCCTTGAATGGGGCAAATCCCTTGCAGGAGGCCAGGGGTGGCTAACCTGATCCCCGAGGGCCTGGGGCATCCACACGCGTCCCAAGCTCTTCCATAGCACGCCTAACTTGTTTACACCCGCCCCACTCTGTCTCCAACTACCTGACAGCCCTGGGGACTGGGAGAGGCACCCTAGCATCTCACCTTTCTTTAGGTCTCAGAAATAACAGCTCCACCCACCTCGCGCACTGGGGAGGCAAGCCGGCAGCCACCGCAACCGAGGCCAGTTTAATGGCCGCAGAATCCTGGCCAGCGCCGCCTCACCCCGCCCCTCCTCGTGTGACTGGCTGAGCGCATCGCAAAGGGCCTGCCAGGTCCTCTGGGGACAGAGGAACGCCTCCCTCTCCCTCAGCTCCTCTGCCGTGCTCCCCACACCCCTCGGTTGGTGCCTGCTGGGTGAGAACATGTCCTGTTATACTTGATCTTTGTTTTTCTTTGTTTGCTTGCTTGTTTTTTGAGACAGCATCGCACCTTGTTTTTCGGAGTCTCACTATAAGGTACCCTGGCCGGTCTCGAGCGCACTGTGAGGGTCAGGCTGGCTGTGAACTCAGGGAGATCCACCTGTCTTGGCCTCTTGTGAACTGGGATTAAAGGCTGTGCCACTACACCCAGCTACACTTGACCTTCCATCATACAGAAATGAGGGATGATCAATTTGTTTATCTACCCGACTTAAGTGATACATTTGAGTGATACCTGACTGTAATCCTGGCATTCAGGAGGCTGAGACAAGACTACCATGAGTTCAAGGTTAGCCCTACAGTGTGAGACCTTGTCTCAAATAATTTTTTTTAGGAAAACACACCCTTGATATTTTGATAAAGGCACTTGAAAATCATTATGTTTTTTTTTTTTTCGGTCTTTGTCCAGCTGGCCTGGAACTGGCTATGGAGACCAGGCTGACCTCTAACTCACATAGATCTGCCTGCCTCTGCCTCCTGAGTGCTGGGACTAAAGGTGTATACCACCACTCCACTTCTGGCTATGAGTTCTTTTGTTTCTTTTCTTTTCTTTTTCATTTAGAGAATACTTTGTAATCAAACCCACATAGATAGATCTTATATTTAATACAGTGTATTACTACTGTACACATAGAAAAAAATAAGCATTTCTGGACCAACATGACTTAATTTCTGTACTATGCTCTTTTCTGTTTCTTAAAAGCAGGAGATGAAATTCCCATATGAAAGACCCCTCTCTTATTAGAAAGCAGAACCCAGAGGCCGTAGATTCCATCCCCAGCACCACCAAGAGTAACTCATCTTTTCAGTCTCTCCACAGAACGTAAGTGCTGCTGCACAGGTTAGCTATTCTTTGTCCAGTTCAGTATGTAAGTAACCAGCTCTCTTTCCCTGCTACTCCTTGGGCTCCTCCTCTCCCTCCTGTGCCCCCTCCTCTATCTCCTTCTTCACTCCTTACCAATCCTGGGAATGACAACTTGGGGCCTCAAGGACACCAGCGACTGCAGAGTCACCAGTCTTCACTTTTTCCTGAAGAGCCTCAAGATACATAAAACTTGCTTTAGAGACATCTCTATGCTTTTCTCCTGTTAACTACTTCAAGTCAATTTACTTCTCAAGGCTAATCAGGCCCCTAAGAGGGTAGAGGGAGAATTTGCATCTCCCTACAAAACTAGGTGAAACTGAAAGCCATCTAAAAGGAAGGAACAAGCTGGGGCTTGGTGGTGCACACCTGTGGTACCAACTGGCCAGGCTGAGCCCAGGAGTTCCAGGCCTGCCTGGCCAATATAGAGACCCCAGTCCACAGCAGGAGAGGGGAGGTGCAGCAAAGAAGAGCCTAGTGGAAACAATTTGTAGCTATTGGACCTTAAGCCATAATATATGTCCAATACTATCTATAAAACCTGGCCCACAGTAGGCATTCTACAAATGAATGCATGACCAAACACAGGCCCTTGTTCTGCACTGGGTCCTGACTCCAGGAAAGGAAAAGGAGCTCGTCCCCATGTCTAGACTCCTCCACTTCATGTCAAAACTGAGCCTTATTGAGGTAAAGATGCTTGGGCCAAACCCTATCCCTGCCCCTTGCTACTTGAAGAGTCTGTGCTATGGTTTCCTCTGAGCTAGCCTCCCTCTGTTCACCTGTAAAATGGGCTGATGATATTAGACAAGGTATAAGAATACATTCCCTGGCCAGGTGTGCACTACCACACCTTTAATCCCAATATTCGGGAAAGAAGCAGGTGGATCTCCAAGACTGAGGCCAGCCTGGTCTACACAGCAAGTTTATAGGCCAGCCGGGGCTACAGGTGTCTCAAATTGTAACATGAGAGGCAGGTGATCATATCACATGATAGTCACCTGCTTCCCGATAAGGAGTGTCAGAAGCAGTATTTAATAACTACCATAGTTTTACATATATTATCACTCAACCAATCCACTGTTGAGCACATTAAGATCATCTAAATCCAGGATGGGGTCAATAAGATGGTTCATCAGGTAAAGGCATTTACCACCAAGCATGATGACCAGTTAGATCCCCAGGACCCACATGGTGGGGGGAAACTGACTACCGAAGGTTGTCCTTTGATCTCATATGTGGTGGTGATGACACTGGAGACAGAACCCAGGGCTGTGTGTGCTGGGCAAGTGTTCTACCAATGAGCTACATCCCCAACCCAAGAGGTTCTATTTTGAGTCCTCACCCTTCCAGATGGGTCCAGCTGTAACCTCTCTTATCTGTCTTTGCTAATACTGTGCCAGAAACAAAACAGAAAGCATATGGGGGAGGTCTTTGATTTTTACTCTTCACACAAATCTGTAAGAACAGTCTCAGGACTGATGACAACACTGTCAATAGACTGTGCTTAACTTGTCAAAGTCTGGGAAATTTATACAGGATCTATTTGGCTCACAGTTCTGGGGGTCAGGAAGTCCAAGAGCATGGCACTGGTGCCGCTCAATGCCTGGCAAGGGCCCTGAGCTGCACCATAATGTCAGCATTGCATGCAAGTCAGAGCCAGGACGCTAGACAGAACCTTGCCTTCCACTACCTACCACAATTATGAAGCACTGGCCCATTAGTAATGGTTCTGTCCAGTCACCCCCACAAAGCTCCCACCTTTCAAATGCCATCAGCACCTGGTTTGGAGATTCAGTTTCCTCCCTGACTTGTAGGGAGGTAGACAAGATTGAACTTGTCGACTCTGAAGTTTCCACTCTTGATTCTGAAAATTGGGGGAGGGGATACTAGTTTTTAAGTATTGATTGCCTCTCCACTCTGCCTTCTGAAGAAGTAACTGCGAAACGGAGCAAGTGGAAAAATGGTACAAGTTTTAAGCATGATTCAGGGACCCCATGGAGAATCTGACCGGGTCAGGGAGAAGGCCAAAAGAGACTAAGGGACAGAGCAAAGTCTGCAGTGACAGGAAGGACTCAATGGGAGCCCTCCTGGGGGACAAAGGACCTGCCAGCCAGCTGGACGCAGGGTTTTCACATGAGTCTAGACTGCTGTGGTAAAACTTGGTGAAAATGCTGATTTTTAAGTTTTCAAGTTTCTTCCAAATCCCCTCTGAAACCCCTGGAGTCCTGCTGAAGAAGCCATAGAAAAATCACTGATTGAAATGCCCTGAAGCGCTCCTGCTGCATAAATGCATAACCATCTCTGCTCTGCATCAAAAGAACATTCTAGAACCTTTAACCTAGGCAGTGTCCCCAGGCTTAAAAGTCTCAATCTCAGGTTTGCTAAATGCCAGTCTGGGGAATTAGTAGCTCAAGTAGGTTGTTTGGGACTGGCTGGAAGTCTTTCCTTTGGTGATTCTGGTAAGGAAGCCTGCACAGTGCATCATCTGTGACCTGGGTCTGACTCCCAGGCGTGAGCCCTAGGCTAGCACTGACTACAAAGTGTATGACTCAAGCCAACCAATCAGAAGCCTCTAGAATAAATATCACACACACACATACACACACACACACACAAATTTTTTAAAAGCCTCCTCCCCCTAAAGATATTTAAGCGTGATGACGTAAGGCTAGAGCTATTTATGGCCACCTCCCCAAAGTTATGTGGGAAACCCATCTACGGCAGCAGATAATTTGCTGCACATTGATAAGCACCCTGTTGACATTTAATTACTCCAGTGCCAGGCATCAGTTTTGCACTTAGTCATGCAGTTACCCCCAAAAAAGTTTCTTTCACTTGCAATTTCTTTGTTGGATTAAGCTAATTAGTGAAGACTTATCTTACAAATCTGGTACCAGGTAATCAAGCATGAGGTGAGCCACAATTCGATATACTTCATACCCACTCCATACCCACTCAGGCCCACACTCCTCACTCCGGTCCTACCCTGAAAAGGGTAAACTTGATAGACTCCCAAGTGCTGGATCCCACTCCACAAAGGTGGTAACCTTTGTGTCTGCCCTCTCCCATTAACCCGTGAGGGCTCCCCCACACACCCAGAATAACACCCAGAATGACCTGATGCATGACCAGGGATAGAAGGCAGGATAAAAACTCTGACCCACCCAATGAGTTCCAAACTACAGAAGAAATCTTTCCAGGCTAGAAATGTAACTCTGTTTGATAGACTGCTTGCCCAGATGCATGAGACTCTGGTTCCGTTCCCAGCGCCACATAATACAACGCATGTCGGTAACCCCAGACATGGGAGGTGGAAGCAGGAGGATCAAGGTCCCCTTCAGATATGGAAGGTAGAAGCAGGAGGATCAAGGTCAGTTGGCTGCAGGTGAAGTAGCAAGAAGAGCTACCAACCCAAAGGCAGGCACAAGGCCACAGCACCTAGAAACTGTCTGTTGGCCTTTAAGCAATTCAGCCAACAGCACACACAGCCTTCCCAGCACCTTGCTAACTAGGTCAGTATCGTTGTATAGGACAAAGCCAACTAACTTGAGACACACTGCCCTACCTTTGATATTGGGCTGCCCATCCCCTTTGCTAAGCCCCATTCTGTTCCATGGGTCATTCCATGGGTCCTTCCATGAGAGAGAAAAATAACAAAGACACAGGTGACATCATGTTGTGATCTTTATTCCATTAAATGCCCAAACAGCTAAAAATGAAACAGAAACAGCTTTTAATATATAACAGCACAATTGCATCCCATTGCACTTTTTAAAAACATATTGTTTTAAAGCCATTCAAAGGCAACGGTCTAGTAAAGTACTTTTAACAAGTCATTTTTAAAATGAAAGGAAATTGAAGAAAATTTGTATATGTTCAAGATTTACCTCCTTTAGTTTAAGGCTTACATTCATTAACAACCATTATTTATCTGAACTAAAAAGGTTTAGGCATCAATGTGACCTTGTAACGTTGAATTTCAACTCTGGGACATGACATTCTTTCCCAAAGGAAACCCTTTCTGTCACTACAGCTGTCTTGAGACAGTCCTACCACTGGGTGCTTAGGTCACTATTGTCATAGTTGTAATCTTATCTTTCCTTAGTTCATATTGGTATTTTAAGGTTTTTCTGTATGTAAAAAATTTAGGGATTCAAGTCACAGTGCCTCACTTGACTTTTCTGGGGGTGGGGTTACACTATTAAAATTGCTTTTAAAAAATTCTTAGCTGTGTATGTGTAAGAGAAGGCACTACAATCACTTTAAGAAGCTTGAACAATCCTCTGGATTAAAGGCACCCTGATGATTTGAACACAGTAAACTCGAGGTTGAGGAGACCACAGGTAAAGTGATCCCCTGCTCCCCGAGATGCTGAAGGGCACTTCCTCCCTATTTCCTATTCTGTGGAGTCGTTCATTCATTCTTTCTCCTCTCTCTCCTCTCTCTCTCTCTCTCTTCTAAAGCATATCCCAGACCTTAATGTAAAGCACTAATGGGTAAATGAGAACCAATATCCAAAACAGAGCCACACTATGACGCAGGAGGACAGCAAATGCAAACGCCCAACTGTAATGAAATGCTTCTTCTAATCATGTGGTTATTAATTTTTTTAAAAAAATTTTTTGTCTTTTTCAGACAGGGTCTCCCTGCAGCCCCAGCTGTCCTGGAACTCACTATGTAGACCAGGCTGGCCTCAAACTCACAGAGATCAGCCTGCCTCTGCTAAAAAATTAAAAAAAATAATAATTCTTCAAAGCATAAAAATTTGCTCCTTAATAACTAGTAGATGTGAAAAACATTACCATTGAAATCTACCTGATGACTTTATATCCATGCTCAGATGCCAAGGAGCTCAGAAAGTAACCAACTGTGACTAGTAATAATCAGATATATAGAGATTAGAAATGCATGTGCAAACATCCAATGTTAATTGCATTAAAAATGAATTTTTCTGTATGAAACTGTATTTTAATAATGAAATGAAGATTCAGTTTTGTTTTATAGGGCTTATACTGGTTTATATTGTATAACTGTATTAATTCAACTGTAAGCCTAAAAATTTACAGCCAATTTTGAAAGAGATGCATCTTAGCTCTGGAAATTGTTATTGAATATGTCAATGCTGTTGTAATAAAATACTTCTCCTAATTATGTGGTTATTAAATAAATAAAATATTATACAAGAAAAAATAAAAGAAATAAAACAGAGCACTGGCCTCCCTCTGGTATAGAGTCTGAGAACACAGGGGACTGACTACCTGAGAGCACCCGGATCCTGCCTCCACATGGTAGTGAGCTTCTCCTGATTGTGCCATATCCATCCCCTGGAATTCAACAACAAGGACAATACAATACAACACAACCTCTGGGCCACTTTAAAAGCAGTCCTAAGAGGGAAGTTTATACCTCTAAGTGCCTACATTAAAAAATTAGAAAGAGCCAAAATAAATGACCCAACAGGCAACGCAAGAGTTGTGTGCCTGTTTGCCCCAATGAAGAAAAAAAAGAGATAAAAATAAAGCACAAGAATTTCTAGCCAATTTTACAAAGTATAAAGTGGATATTAACATAACCTTCCCAGCACTCTAGAGGCAGAGGCAGATGAATCTCCATGAGTTCAAGGCCAGCCTGGTCTGCAGAGCAAATTCCAGGTCAGCTGGGGCTACAAAAAGTAGCCCTTAGGCTGGGGACATGGTTCAGTGGTAGAACACTTGCTTAATCCCCAGCACCACAAAAGAAGAAAAGAGAAAAGAAATCACAAGCCTCCATGGGACAGATTTTTTTTTTTTTTTGGTACAATGCTTTTTTAAAAAAGGATGACTGTGAAATGTTTTATCAACATGTAACAAACCAATCTACAAAGACTTCCCAGTGAAACAATCAAACTGATTTTACTTATTTTGACAGTAAGAATCAACTTGGAAGAATTTAACTTGGTGGACAGAGCACATGCCCCCATGCACATGGCCCTGGGGTTCCAATCCCAGAACCTCAAATCTTGGCAACATTTAGCTTCTCCCAAAGTTATTTTAACAGAATGTTTTGGAAATCTCCACTATGGTCAGAGGTATGTGCTCCACACAGACAGGAATGTGCAAATTAACAGTGCCTGCACAGAAAGCTGGCCAGGAAGGGCCAAGCAGCCAACACAGAAGAACACTGAAGTTTGGCTCCTACACCCTGTCCCTGACCCAAAAGAAAAGGCTGGAAATGGTAACAGACTCTTTTCAACTGGTTATAAATTTCCCCAAGACAATTTATAGCCCGTCATCAGAAGGCATCGTGCATCAAATAGTTGATAAAAAATTATCAATTTAAAATTAGAAAAGGGTCAGGCGTGGTGGTACACACCCTTAGTCCCAGCATTCTGGGGCAGATGCAGACAAAAATGTCAGAGTTTGAGGCCAGCCTGCTCTACATAGCAAGTTTCAGGCGATCTGGGACTACAGGGAGACGCTGTCTTTAAAAAAGAAAGAGTAAAGTTAGAAAACAGGCCAAAGAAAACCTAAGAACCCTCAAAGATTTTATAAACAAGTTCCAGAGGCAGAATAAGTGAAGTAATCATACACTCACTGAAAACACACAAAGGTGTAGTACTTCATATCACCATTAATTTTTCCTGCATCATCCTTTCTCATCATTAAAAGCGTAACCAAAGACAAGCAAGGTGCCACACACCTATAAGCTCAGCACTGAGGTTGTGGCTGAGGCAGAACCTCAAGTTTAAAGTTTAGTCAGTCTACGCTACATAGCAAGTTATACGCCAGCCTGGACTATCTAACAAGATCCTGTCCCAAAAACGGTCTATGAACCTGTTATAGAATGCATTAACAGGTAAGTATCTTAGTGTCAGTGGGGTCTGTTACTAAGCATCAACCTTCAGACACAGATGCCATCAGAAAAAAATGCACCAAATATCAGCTGTGAGCTTGCAATTCCCTGGTCAACATTTGGTATCACTTAAGGGCAAGTGAGCAGTTTTAGAAGAAGCTGGAAGAAAATGTAACAGCAAATGAATAAAGGGGAAGAGTTTCAGGACAAGATGGTATGGAGATATGCAAGATGATTGGGGTAAATTCGGGACACACAAAAATACTTGAGTGGAAAAGTGTTAGAAGAAAATTCTCTCAGAAGGAAATTAAATGTGAGACTTCCTTTTTTTCTCTCTTCCATTCACACTTCATATACCTAAAATTTACACACAATTTTGTCTAAACTCCATTTCCCTCCCACCACAAAAATCAAATTATCTCAAAAATTAAGGCTAAACTTGTTCATATAAATACTTGTAGGTATGTTTTAAGTTTTTAACCCACAATAATTCACTATTACAAAAATCAAAAAAAAGCAACTATAGATAAAATGTTTTTATCATATAATCAAAGTAAATATCAAAAATGAATTTTAGACTCTTTGAGAAATTGTCCTTCTTAAGCCAATAATTTTAAAGCTACCAGTCTAGCAAAAACGAAAATTAGGAAAGAATGTTTGCTGGGGAGTGGGAGGATGTAGTGGCACACACTTTAATCCCGACAATCAGAAAGCAGAGGCAGGTGTATCTCTCGGAACCTGAGGTCAGCATGGTCTACATAGTAAAACCCTGTGCCAAAAAAAAAAAAAAAGAGAGGGAGTTGTATCCATAGCGTGAGGGCGGCAAGTTGTACAAAAAAAAAACCCCCTCCAAAAAAAAAAAAAGAGAGGGAGTTGTATCCATAGCGTGAGGGCGGCAAGTTGTACAAAAAAAAAACCCCCTCCAAAAAAAAAAAAAAAGGAAAGTTAATTCAACAGGACTGAGTATCCTTCCTTCTTTTAAGGAAAAAGAGCCTAAAATTAACAATTTTAGCTTTGATATTATAAACTTTAGACCATGCAAAGAATAAAAATACACAGTTTGGGTGAAGACCCTAGACCCATTTGGTATTACTGCTAGGCCACATAAAATAATATATTAATTAAAGGTAGTAATATTTAGTAATGTCTTTTCTCTAATCCTTTATGACACCAAATTTATGAGTGTAAGACTGACATGTGCTTTATATACATACATAAAGTTACAGTGACTCTCATCAAGACACAGGTTTAAGTGACTTATCAAGGGTCAAATGGGTCCCTTAAATTGCAATTTTTTTCAGAAAGTAGCTCATTCCTTTTATTATGAGTCACTCTGGATTTTTAAGGCATTTCTGCCTCTTTTTCTAGAAAGAAGCTATAGATAGGAATATTTTAAAAAGCAAGTTCAAAACAACTGTCAGCCTATTAGGAAAAAGACTTTAAATTCTGTAATATAAATGATCTAATTTTTCCATACTTCATAGCAAGCAGAATTCTAATATTACAAATAAGATTTGAAGCAAGGACTGGTGGTACAGGCCTTAACACCAGCCACGCAAGAGAACGAGACAGGGGAAATCAAAGCTTCGTGGTCAACCCTGGCCAGAGTAAATTAAAGACCTGAGACCATGTCTCAAAAGGAAAAGCAAAGGGCTGGGGATACAGCTCAATGGTAGAGTGCTTGCTTAGTATGGTTCAATCACCAATAATGGTAATAACAGTGACAGCATCATTTCATTAAGTCTTCAGTTCGGAACCTTTTCCAAGTTTTCTAAACTTTAAAAACAAATCCTCATAAGGAGCAAAACTGACACTTCATTCCAAAACAGCCTATTTCATGAGGCAGTCCTCCGTTCCTCACCCTCATGTCTGCAAAGGCATGGATTTGACCTGAAAAGGCACTATGTGGCACAAAAAGCTTCAAAGCTGCATTTCCATGTTTTCCTTTCACCCTCCCCCCACCCCACAATAAAGTGCACAAAGCAGCGTAACAAGAAAACAGACAAAGTCTCAAATCTATAACAGCAAGAAAAATGACTGCTTCCAAGAGAAATGGAATTTGAAAGCCAGGAAGAGGTCAGCTCATTTATTACAGTGCCCGTTTCAGTTCTTCCCAGATGGGCTCAGGTCTGTCATTCCTTTGGAACTGGACCACAGTGGCAGGAGCAGAAATCCAGGGGCCAGTTGGGCTCTTGTTGGATCCTCCCATTCAGATGCTATTCAGCTTTTTTATCCGCAGGTGATCTACCAGCAGCAACTGCATCCCTCACAGCAGCCTGAGTAGAGTTACTAATATGCGAAGAAGCCTGCAAAAGTCCATTTATTCAATGTATCAGTTAACAAAATACAACACAGTATGAAAAAGTTAAGTCCTTGGAGATAAACTTTCAAACACCTCTTCCATCATCAGCACGTTGAGAAGCAGGGGCCTGAGAACGCAGTGGTATGAAGAAACCCTGGCCAAGCTGACTCCCGGTCAGTGGAGCATTTGCTCCATGGCTGAGGGAGGGGGTGGGGGCTCCCTGGTTTCACACAAAACTGACCTAACTGATCTGTTCATGTTACTTAAAAAAGAAACAAATCAATCTCAAAAATATACAAAACTGGCCAGTGGTAGGGGTGCACACCTGCAATCCAAACACTCAAGAGCTGAGGCAGAGTTGTGAGTCTGAGGTGATCATGTATTACACAATGCGTCCCAGGCCAGCTTAGGCTCAGAAAGACCCTGGGGAAAAAATAAACACATGTGTAGCATATAGTACATACGGTACATACCTATACCCCAGCACTTGCAGCACTTAGGAGGCAGAGGCAGCAGAATCAGAAGCTCAAGTTCAACCTCACCCTTGTCAACATATGGAGTTTGAGACCAGCCTGGGCAACATGAGCTTCTGTCTCAAAACACTACAAAAATACCTAGATGGGCCAGCAAAATGGCTCAGGTAAATAAACACTTGCTGCCCAAACCCTGAAGACCTGAGTTCAATCCCTAGACCATATAAATGTGAATGGAAAAAAATGACTCCACCAAGTGGTCCTCCGCCATGTACATGCCTTGTTGTGGGATGTGCACACCCACACTTATACATACACAATACACAATAATAACTTGTCAGGTGTGGTAGTACACGCCTTTAATCCCAACACTTGGGAGGCAGAGGCAAGTGAAATCTCTTGTGAGATCCAGGCCAGTCTGATCTACATAGGGAGTTCCAGGCCAGCTTGGGGATAGAGGGAAAGTCTGCCTCAAAATAATAATAATAATAATAATAACAACAACAACAATAACAACTAAGCTGGCGTGGTGGCGCACGCCTTTAATCCCAGCACTCTCGGGAGGCAGAGGCAGGTGGATCTCTGTAAGCTCAAGGCCAGCCTGGTCTACATAGTGAGTTCCAGGACAGCTGGAGCTACAGGGAGACCCTGTCTCCAAAAGACCAAAAGTAATAATAATAATAATAACTTAAAAATTTTAAATATAAAAAATAAAAACCTGCTGAGTTGGTAGTATACACCTTTAATCCCAGCACTCAGGAGGCTGAGGCAGGCCAGGCAGGGCTACATACATAGTGAAATCCTGCTTTAAAAAACAAAAACAGGGGGCTGGAGAGATAGCTCAGCGGTTAAGAACACCGACTGCTCTTGCAGAGGACTGGGGTTCGACTGCCAGAACCCACATGGCAGCTAACAACTGTCAGTAATTTCAGTTCCAGGGGATCTGTATCCAACCTAAACTATATACAGCAGCTATAACTCTGGATCACAGTAATACCACTGAGTTCTCCAGTGGCAAATTAGAATGAAAAATAAAATTTATGTAACCTTCTTAATTGTTCAAAATAATAAAATATTTACTCTAATTCTGAAATGTTCGGTGCTAAGTAACAGCAGCCTGGGCCAAAGGGAGAGATAGTCTTTCAGAATGGTCCAGAGGTTGCTATTCCCCAGGGTGTAATAAGCTTGAGGGCCTGGGTGCAGCAGCAGGAGCTAAGAACCTTGGAGCAGAGGCTGGAGAGATGGCTCAGCGGTTAAGAGCACAGACTGCTCTTGCAGAAGACCCAAGTTTGAATCTCAGCACCCACATGGCAGCTAACAACTGTCTATAACTCCAGTTCCAGGGGATCCAACAGTCTCTTCTGTCCTCCTCAGGCACTGTACAACACGGGGGCACTTACCTACATGCAGGTAATACATGCATACACATAAAATAAAAATAATATTTAAAAAAAAAAAAAAACAAAAACAGAGTGGATAGAGAGATGGCTCAGTGGTTAAGAGCACTGGCTGCTCTTGCACAAAACTTGTATTTGGTTCCCAGCACCCACATGGCAGTTAACGACCATCCAAAACTCCAGTTTCAAGGATCTGATGCCCTTCTGGCCTCTGCAGACATTGTACACACAAGTGCACTTACATATATATACAGGGAAAACATTTATACACATAAAATTAAAATAAAAAATTAGCAAACAAAAAATGCTAAAATCATGTCAATGTTAAAAATCATTTACATTCTGGAAGATATAAATGAAGGCATGTATGAAGACACCATAATGAAACCCAATATTGTATATGCTAACCTAAAAACCTGGCTTAAGATTTTAATAAATAAATGAAGGCAATGCGTACATTTACTAATTCAATATGATTCAAAATACAACATTTTTTTATGTTCATATTTTTCCAAAGCTCTTGGTTTTCAGTGACGCAAACTGATCAGGGAGATGGGGAGAATCACACAAGAATCATGTCTTTAGACAATATAATTAGATGGCATTCCTAGAATCATCAGCCATCACTGGGATACAAATGAATTAAAGAAGACCTCATCATTAGTGACGTGCACTGTTCTGAGTAGGACAGACCCAGGACTGGAGGCTACTAGAGATTCTTGTGGGCTTCTCCTCTAGTGTACAATGTCCCAGCCTACGAAATTCTCAAAGACAGGGACAGGCACTCTTACAACATACTTTTGTATCCCTGGTTCCCACTGCAGACTGTAGCACATTGGCATATACTTAAGAGTTTCTTAATCGAATGAACACTGAGGGTCAACTATACATGAAGTGTTTAAGAGACTTAGAGAAATCTAGGAGCAATTTTAAGATAATAATTGTCACATTCTGTTAAATGCCTATAAATGCCTACAAAAAAAAGAAAAAAAGATAATATAATTAGAACTTTCCCAATAGAACACAGTATGACTAAGAGCTTTTTTTGCACTAAAAGGCCAATTTTAGGCATTGAAACAAAACAGCAGCACTAAATATTAATATACTAAAGAATAAAACGTAAAGCCCATCAGAAGTTGGGTTTATGCCTTCCTTTACTATGAAATTCTTCCAAACTAAGGTATTTCACAACAGAAGTACAAGTATCATCAATCAACCCTCCTCCGTCAACACAACTTACCTGCTCTAACACATAAGCTGCGCCAAGGTCAATAGCTCCACCCAGCTCACGATACTGACCGGAATACCTGATGTACCCCCAGGTAAGGAGCGCTATTAACAGCAGCCCAACCATACAGTTGAACAGCTGAGCCACAACCTCGAGACCAATGAAGCCAGTAAGGCCTGAGGCGATGTACAAAGCTGCTATGCCTGTGAAGAGAACCGCCGGGGTTCGGAAGGTGCTGAAGACATTCTTGCTACCGTTGTGTTTGCAGAAGTTCTCAAACAATTCCTGGATCTCCTCCTCCAGCTCTTGCTGGTAACGAAGGCTGAAATCCTTCCCACCCATCTTCTTAGTCTTCTTAAATTGGTTCAGGGCAAGTTGCTTGAATTCACAGTGCTTCTCCTCTAAAATATCTGGAGACAAATAAGGTTTCTCTCCCCCACAAACCTAAAAATAACAAAAACACAACATGTTGAAAATCCCTTTATATGCCAAATAAAACAAGTAAAAAGATACAGTCAAGATCAGAATGTTTTAAGATATTAGAAAAAGAGATATTAAAAGTTAACTTTAGGGGGCTAGAGAGGAGGCTTGGCAGTTAAGAGCAATGGTTGCTCCTGTAGAAGACCCACCCAGGTTCTGTTTCCAGGACCCCACATGGCAGCTACCAACCATCCTTAACTCCAGTTCCAGGGGATCTGATGCCCTCTTCTGGCCTCCACAGATATTGCATTCATACATGCAGGCAAACATGCATACATATAAAATAAAATAGATCAAAAAAAAATTTTTTTAAAGAAACAAGACAAGGCTGGGCGTGGTGGTGCACATCTTTAATTCCAGCACTCGGAAGGCAGAGGCAGGTGGATCTTTGTGAGTTTGAGGCCAACCTGGTCTACATAGTGAGTTCCAGGACAGCTGGGGCTACAGGAAAGCCCCATCTCAAAAAGACAGAAAAAAAAAAAAAAGGCCAACTACAAAACAGGCATGTTAGTCTATAATCCCAGCATTCAAGAAGCACAGATAGGGCTGTCACAAGTTTGAGGCAGGGCTACTCTATATAGCAAATTCCAGGCCAGCCAGGGCTGCATAGCAAGCCCTTATCAAAAGAAACCAAAAGAAAAAAAAGCTTTAAAATCACCAGAGTAACACTAATCAGAAATAACAGTGGCATGACAATCAGACATGGGGGGGGCTGGAGACATAGTTCAGTGGTTAAGAGCACTTCCTGCTCTTTCAGAGGACCAAAGTTCAGTTCCCAGCACTCATGTCAGGCAGATCACACTCCCCTGTGAGCTCCAGGGGATTCAACACCGTCTTCTGGCCACCCACATACACATGCAGAGGCACACACACAAACACAAAAATAGATCACAAAATAAATCGTTAAGCCAGGCATGGTGGCACATGCCTTTAATCCCAGCACTTGGGAAGCAGATCTCTGTGAGTTCAAGGCTGGCTGGTCTATATAGTGAGTTCCAGGACAGCTGGGGCTACAGGGAGACCCTGTCTCAAAAAGACCAAAAATTAAATAAATAAATAAATAAATAAATAAATAAATAAATAAATAAATCTTAAAAAAGAAAAAGATACAGCCGGGCATGGTGGTGCATGCCTTTAGTCCCAGCACTCAGGAGGCAGAGGCAGGAGGAGCTCTGCGAGTTTGAGGCCAGCCTGGTCTACATAACAAGTTCCAGGCCAGCTGGGACTACAGGGAAACCCTGTCTCAAAAAGACGAAAAAAAAAGATACATTAAGTAGTATCTTAATACTACTGGTCTGGTGGCAGGAGTTCCTGTGATCCCACCACTTGGGAGGTAGAGGCAGAAAGATCAGGAGTCCCACATCAGCCTCCACTACCACAAGGCTCTTCAGGCCAGCCTCTACTATGTAAAACCTGTGTCAAAAGGGGCTTGAGGGGAGATACACTAACAGAGTCAAGTTTGGGTCTGAAAAGTCAGTACCCACTCAGGGTCTCCTCACTTACCTCTTCCATGTTGTTGTAATAAACGTCCTTGGCAGAGGCTGCAGCAGCCAGATTATTGGCTTCAGCAGTGGCCTTGTAAGAAAGGAAAGCATGAACTGCGAATTATTCTCCTAACATTTCTGCAGAAATAACCAAGCGAAAATCTGTCTCATTCTTCCTTTTTTACTAGACTTCTCTTTTTTTTCTTCTTCTCCCTTAGGTCTCCATACAAGTCAACTGAAAAAATTAACATTTTTGCCAAATTTTGTACCAAAACATCTGTTCTGACAACTAAGAATCTTTAGCATAAATTAAACAAAAATCAAGGAAAATATTATTTCCTTTGCGTCAATTTTAAACTTAAAATACAAATTTTGGATAAACACAGAAAAAAAATTATCAATATGTTAGCAATTACAGGCTCTAGCAACTTTTGTGAAACTTGTTTTACCTGCTGTCAATGCAGACAAACCAAAGGGCACCCATTCTGCTGTAAAATGTGCTAAAAACCAAGATATGGACCCAAGAGAAAGGAGTATGCCCACATTCTCTTCTTCCAGACTCAGCTGTATGCCCGAGTCAATTCCAGCAATTAAAAAAACGTGTCACTTGGGATGCCCAAGACTTCATTACCTGAAGCATAGATTTGGGGTGAGGCAGATCTTCTCCTTGGTAAATTTTAATATATGCCTTAAAATATAAACATAAAAACAATTACAAAAATGTCATTCTAAAACATTTGCTCATACCTTAAAATTTTAAAACAGTAAGACCACACACTGCATTTTCACAAAGACCTAGACCAACAGCCAACAATTAGCAAAGGCACAGCACAACTATGAGTGCACATTAGCGTTTTTAGTTATCTACAAATACTTTTAAGTAGCACAAGCCAACCAAGACTAGGATTCTCATCAGACTCCCATGCACAGTGGCCTCACCATGACCTGTAGGCAGAGACTACTTGCCTGGAGGCGGCCATGTCACATTTACCTGTGGTTTCCCATTCACAGCAACTTCCTAACCACCTGCTGTTCACATCATTTTCCTTGAAGACACAGTAATCACTACTCTAAGAGAGTGCAAAAAAGATCCATTTGGTTCTTAGGCCCATACTGCCACCCAGTGGCCCACTCCTAGAAGAGCACTAGGGTCTCAAAATGTTTCTCACCCAAAGTTTAAAACTAAAACTCCTATTTACCTTAAAATACTCCAACAGTCCCCGGCAGGTGACTTTTGAGCCATTGATCTCCTTTTCCATTAGCTTAGATGGGTTTAACACATAAGGTATCAGTGCTTGCAACTGCTCTTTGAAGTCACTAGCAATATCTAGTTATAGATCACAGAGAAAAAGCAAGACAAAATGAGCACAAAACAAAACCTCTACGGCGCACAATTCTATTAGCATCTTCCAGCTGGAGTAGGAGACAAGGTACAGACCATGCTGGGCGCTTTGGACTACGACCAGGCTGCTGCCAGATCACTGCCAATGTGCCTCCTTTTATGTCTCCTTCCCTCCTGGCACACATAAGTCCTATCTAGTTCAGAACAGAATATACAGAATGTCCTTATCTTGATTTCAAGTCTAGAAAATGTGGTCTACTCCCTAGCTCTTGAAGAAATTCCATGGTTTTGTTATTTTTTGTTGTTTTGTTTCAGAACAGAATCTTACTATAGACCCCAGGCTTGTTTCAAACTGCAATCCTCTGGCCTCCCAAGGACATTCCACTTTTCAAAAAATATCATTAACAAGACCCTCAAATCCTAGCACATCAACCTCTTGGCTTGTCTCGGGCCTTTGCTGCACTACTCATCCATATGCTTTATTTGTGTTAACACGGTATGTAAGAGGAAGCACTTGAGCCTGGCATCCTGATGCACACTACAGTCCTATGACCTGGCACCGTGATGCACACCTACAGTCCTATGACCTGGCACCGTGATGCACACCTACAGTCCTATGACCCTGGCACCATGATGCACACCTACAGTCCTATGACCCTGGCACCGTGATGCACACCTACAGTCCTATGACCTGGCACCGTGATGCACACCTACAGTCCTATGACCCTGGCACCGTGATGCATACCTACAGTCCTATGACCTGGCACCGTGATGCACATCTACAGTCCTATGACCTGGCACCGTGATGCACACCTGCAGTCCTAGCAGGAAGAGGCAAGATCAGGAGTGCAAGGTCAGTCTGGGTTGCAGAGTGAATTTGAGACCAACCTGGGCCACAAGAAACATTCTCAAAAAAAAAAAAAAAAAAAAAAAAAAATCACACACATAGGCTGGGCCTGGTGGCATACACCTTTAATCCCAGCACTCCAAAGGCAGAAGAACACTCATCTCTTTGAGTTCCAGGCCAGCCTGGTCTACATAGCAAGTTCCAGGCCAGGCCAGCCAGGGCTACACAGTGACATCCTGTCTTTAATTTATAGATATAATATATATATTGGTCTTTTTGAGACAGGGTCTCCCTGTAGCCCCAGCTGACCTGAACTCACAGAGATCTGCCTGCCTCTGCCTCCTGAGTGCTGGGATTAAAGGTATATGCCACCACGCCTGGCTAAAAAATATTTTTAATCAAATACAAAAAAGTAGAAGCACTTCTGCCTCATATGATTTACTTCTTAGAATATCATGAGAAGACCCTGGGCTACCTCAAGATGAAAGACCATGTCAGAAAAGTGACAATCTTTTCTGGTTCCAAAGTTCCAAAGACAGTCCAGGGGAACCAGCAAATAGAGCTCTTTCTTCAGAGTAAGAATGTGCAGATCCAACTACAAAGATGAAGATTAAATTATCAGAAATCTGATTTCTATAAATCTTCTAATTCTTCATGAGTTCCCAACTGTCAAATGAAAATAAAATTCTTGCCCATATCAGGATAAAAACTCTTCGCCACTCCATAAATAATTATAATACAAAAAAAAATGAACCTATAAAGTCTTAAGAAACAAAAAGGTAGGGTACAAATTCTTTATTAATTTTATACTGAGGCTCAGTGTGGTGGAGCGTGCCTTCAATCCCTGCACTGGAAGGCAGAGGCAGGTGGATCTCTGTAAGTACCAAGCCAGCCAGGGATACATAGCGCGAGACCCTGCTTTAAAGAAAAAAAAACTTATAGCCAGGCATGGTGGCGCACGCCTTTAATTCCAGCACTCGGGAGGCAGAGGCAGGGGGGTTTTTTTTTGGTCAAGGGCAGCCGGGTCTA